TATTATATTATATTATATTATATTATATTATATTATATTATATTATATTATATTATATTATATTATGTTATGTTATGTTATGCTATGTTATATTATATATATTATATTCTTTCAAGTAATAATCATTTTGGTATCTTTGAAGCCCAAGATGGATAACAACCAAAAGGCTTTCTCCCCTTTCCAATAATTCCAGTCTCAAAGAACTATCTTGTACATGTGCCCCATGCAGGTGTCTGCTATGCTGAATTTGGAGTTCGAGTTCCAAAGACTACTGGGTCAGCCTATACCTACAGCTATGTCACAGTGGGCGAGTTTGTGGCATTTTTTATTGGCTGGAATCTGATCCTGGAGTACCTGATTGGCACCGCAGCAGGGGCCAGTGCCCTAAGCAGTATGTTTGATTCCCTGGCAAACCACACCATCAGCCGCTGGATGATTGACAGCGTGGGGACTTTAAATGGTCTGGGTAAGAATCCAAGAAGAGAAATACTTGCCCTTTAGTGGATCCTTACATAGCCGTCTGTCCAGACCCCATGCAACAGATATATCCTATAGAATTTCAGACTCATTCTACTTTTTACTAATCCCAATCAAATATTTATTAAATCCCTACTATGTGCTAGACACATGGAGAAAAAAGACAGGTAAAACAAAAACCCTGCCTACAAAAGTTCATAATGTAGTTCAATTGAATTTAATTCATCTCACTTAACACAACCAGAAGGCATACTTCTGGTCAAAAAGGAGACTGGACCCAAGTTTGAAGGACCAGAAGTAGCCTCTTTTCAACCCTACTATCTGATCTTATCACCTTAGATTTCAGAAGAGTCGAGTAAGATTTTCTTGCTATTGATGGATCTTCTCAGAATATTTCCACAATAGCAGGCAAGTCTCTTAGGAACCTAGCTTTCAAGCCAGAAAGCACCTCAGAGACCAGCTAGTTCGCCCCTCTCATTTTACATAAGAGGAAACTGAGATCCAGAAACATGAAATTACTTGCCTAAAGCAATGCAGGTAGTAAATATCAGAGGTGGGATGTGAACCGAGGTCCACTAATTATCATTAATTTCTTAAATGTCTTTATAGACATTTTCTCATTTGATACCCCAACAACCCTGTCAGGCAGACACTACAGCTAATATGGTTCCCATTTTAGAGATGGGGAAACTGAGGGGTTAGAGAGACAAAATAACTTGACTGTATGAGTGGTGAGATTTTCACTAAGGTCCGAGCTCATTCCACCATATCAATCTCAGGTTGTAAGACTATGATCCAGTTGTCTTTAAGAAGACTAAATACATCAAGGCCTAATGAGCATCCCTACTTTTTGCCATGTCCAAATGGGCCTCACATAATTCGGGACTCAAAACATTGTAGAGATTATTGAGTCTAATCTCTTCATTTTACAGATGGGGAAACTGAGGCCCAGAGAGACTGAGTACCTTGCCCAAATTCCCATTATTCATTAGTGATAACACCATGACTAGAAGCTAGGTTCTCTGATGCTCTGAGTTCTTCAGTCCTGGGGGGCTTCCCTTACATCTCCTATCTCGTCCTTAAAGAAAAGAGCTCACTTACCACAGAACTCACTTACTAGTGAACAAGTCAAAGAACATCATCCCCTCCCCCCCATATACTTTTTACATATTTTGTATTGGCTTACGTGTTGTACTGCCCTTTAGCCAATAGAAAGTGAACTCCTGGACAACAAATTCAGTTGTTTTTATCTCCGTATCCTCATTACCATGAGGTGATAATGCATAGCAGATGCTTCATCAGGGTCTGAATCAATAAACATTTGTTAAGTACTTACTGTGTGCCAGGAACTGTGCTAAGCTCTGGGGATACAAAGAAAAGTAAAAGGCAGTCCCTACCCTCAAGAAGCTTGCAATCTAGTAGGAGAAAGAAAACATAAAAAGAAGCTAAAAAGGGAGGAGGGTGAGATGTAATAATAAATGCTTGGATGAACAATAGACTGTAGGCAGCCAATGTGGTAGAGGCATACAAGATCTGTAGTCAAGAACCTGAATTCAAATCTTCCTTCCACCAATCAGTCAATAAATATTTATTAAGCACCTACTATGTGCCAGGCATTGTGCTAAGTGCTGAGGATAAACAGAAAGGCAAAAGACAGTCTCTCCCTTCAAGGAGCTTACCATCTAACAAGGGAGTCAACTGGTTAGCAGTCATGTACGTACAGGCTATAGACAGCTAAATAGGAAGTGCTCAACAGAGACAAAGTACTAGAAATGAGGTGGATTGAGAAATGCTTCCTGTAGACTCGCTGGACCCCAATTTCCTCATCTATAAAGCAAGAGGTTTGGAATGACCTTGGAAGCCTCTTCCTGTGATCCTATTAATTCAATTAGCTAGGTGACACAGTGGATAGAACGCTAAGCCTGGAGTCTGGAAGAATTGAGTTCAAATCCAGCCTCAGACACTTACTAGCTGTGTGACCCCAGGAAAGTCACTTAACCTCTGTCTGACTCAGTTGCCTCATCTGTAAAATGAGAATAATAATAGCATGTACAACCAGAGTTGTTGTAAGGCTCAAATGAGACAATAATTATAAAGTACTTAGCACCATGCCTGGTACATAGTAGGTGTTACATAAATGTTAGCTATTATTATTAAGCACCTACTACATGCCAGACACTTTGCTAGGTACTGAGGATACAAAGACATGAAAAAAAATAGTCCCCAACCTCAAAGATCTTACATTCTGTTTTCCATTGTCTCTGCACATTTACACACATAGGCAGAAATCTGTTGTTGGAGCATTTTCCAATGATTCACTCTTCAATCTTCCTTATAGATTTATAAGAACTTAGGAAGAGAATGGGAAAATGGTGGAACCAAAAGTAGGATCTAACATTTTTAATTAACCATATTATGAAATCTTACAAGTAGGAACGGAGAGAGTTTTGCCACATATGTTATGGCAATAATTCAATTTCTTGAGCACTTTAAAGATAGCAAAGTACATCTCTCATAAAGAGGGAAAGAAGGAGTACAATGGCTTATTATCCCCACTTTTCAGAATGGGGCTCTGAAAACTGAGAAAACTGAGGCTCTGAGAAGTTAAGCAATTTGCCCCCAGTGAATTGGCTGGCAAGTGTAAAAGCTGAAATTGTAATCTCCTGACTCCAAGCCTGGCACTATTCCATGAAAACCAGCATATGGTTTTCACCATATCCTTTAACCAGTCTGGAAATAGGCACATCCAGCCGTATATGGGCTGCAACATATGTATATGTATGCACATATACATATAGATAGGATTTCTAGTCTTCTCCATTCCGTGCCCTATTCTCACCAATATTTCAAAAGCAAAATGCTGGGGCAGCTAGGTGGTGCAGTGGATAGAGCCCCAGCCCTGGAGTCAGGAGGACCTGAGTTCAAATCCAGCCTCAGACACTTGACATTTACTAGCTGTGTGACCCTGGGTAAGTCATTTAACCCCAATTGCATTGCCCCCCCAAAAAAAGAAAAAAAAATGCTGTCCCACTGTGGGATGCCCATGACCACTTTCCTCTGACTACAAAAGTAATTGGTGCCTACCTTCTCTGCATTACAGGAAAAGGAGAAGAATCATACCCAGACCTGCTGGCCCTCGTCATTGCTGTCATTGTGACCATCATTGTTGCCCTTGGGGTGAAAAATTCTGTGGGCTTCAACAATGTTCTCAATGTGCTCAACTTGGCCGTGTGGGTGTTTATCATGATTGCTGGTCTTTTCTTCATCAATGGAAGCTACTGGGCTGAAGGACAGTTCCTGCCTCATGGATGGTCAGGGGTAAGCTTCTTTCAAAGTCTGGGTGGGCATGGTGTCCCCTCTGGCTGGTAGTCTATCTAAAAAGACAACAGAAAATCTTCCTCTGTCCCATTGGGCTCAAAGCACCCCTCTAATAATAATAGCTATGATTTATATAGCCATTAAGGTTTCATAAAGCATTTTACATCTCTTATCTTATTTGACCTTTACAAAACTGTGAAGTAGGTGGTATTATGATTCCCATTTTGCAGCTGAGGAAACTGAGGCTGAAGAACATTAAAGTACTTGCCCAAGATCATACAGCTAGCAAGTATCTGAAGCAGGATTTGAACTGAGATCTTCCTGACTGGAGGTCTGCTGAGCCACTAGCTGCCTTTTTTTAATGCCTTGTAGTCTCTATTTCAGAATGCATTTTAATTGAGGTTTATGAGCTGGATGCAGGAGACTGTATTAACAAGTTTGACCATAGCCATCCATTCAATAAGCACACACTCCTACTGTTCTCATCCAAACATAAGAAATGAAATAAAAGTTCAAAGATAAGTGAATAAAACACTAAGATGATGTAGTTTATTACCCTGCTTTGACCAGCCTTTTAAACTCCCCATTTTAAGATTCTTTCATGCATTAGATGGGGATGGCAAGTAATTGATACCAGTTATTTTTAAAGAAATAAGAGGTCTTATTTTTGAAAGGAGTTTAAAAGAATAGGGTGTGATAGTTAACAACTATAATGATGGATGAGCCATGCTTTAAAATAGGGTGTTCAGCTGTTAAATTTTTATTTCCCTACACAACCTCAAAGTGACATAATTACAGACTCTTGGCACTGAGAAGAATTTTTAAAGATCCTTCAGCTCATTCCATGGTCTTCAAACAATTATTCTGGAATCATCCCAGACCAATTAGATGTCTTCTGTTTATCTGATTCCCCATGGCATCCTAGTATTGAAGACATCTAGTCCAATTCTACCCTACCTCAAGGGAAAATCCTCTCTACTTCATCGCCAACAGGTGGTCATTCAATCTTCCCTTCGATTTCTTCAGTGATGGGAAACTCATTACTTACAAAGCACTTGCCTGACGCTTGCTGTCCTTCATTCTCGAAAAGGACCAAAATGACATCACTATGTTAGAGTCAAGTTACAATGCATCCAATGGTGGCTCATCAGACCAGCATGAGCTCAGAATGTTCTACCACAGGTCAGACACAAGTAGTCCATGTGAACATTGGGGTAGATTCTCTAAATTTGTGCATCTCACATTTTTTGAGCTAGTTCAATTCTGCTTTGCTCATAAAGCACAGCACCTTCTCTGATGAGGGCACACCATGCTGGGAGGTCCTGTGCCAGAATCTCCCATGTCATGCAATCAATTCCCAAGTTCTTAAGAGAGATCTTGAGAATGTCCTTGTATGGCTTCTTCTGACCACCATGTACATGCTTGCTCTGTGAGTTCTCCATAAAATAATCTTGTTTTGCTGGACTCCACATATTTGTTATTTGGGTTTTCTCTTCTTTCTTTTTATTGTTCAATGGGAGTGGCAAGGAGAATGGAGAGAAAATAAATGCTTGTTTTAAAAAAGTGAGTAAGAAGCAGCATCTTTACCTCCAAATGTTAAGAACTGAACTCATTCAATAAACATTATATATAATAATATAATTATATATAATAATAATAATATATAATATAACGTTCTTATAAGAACTTTATGCAGAGCACTGTGTTAGGTGCTGAGAGAATTTGTGTCAGGATAGAGAATTCCCAGTGCAAAAGTTCCCTCTTCCAAAGCAGATCATCATCTGCCCATCAACTAACAATGTTGGGAAATCATGGAGGCCCTGAGATGTTAAGTTGACTAAGGCTCTCATAGCCAATATGTAACAGAGGCAGCACTGGAACCCAGAGCTTCCTGAATCAGAAGTTGGCCTTCTATCCACTATTTCATCCTGCTTTCACTGGGAGAGATACAGAATGACAAATTTAAAACTGGAAAGGACCATAGACATGATCTATTCCAATCCATTCATTTTGCAGAAGAGGAATCTGAGGTCAAGAGGTGAAGTGATTTTCCCAAGGTAGTATGGGTAGTCAAGTGACAGAGCTTGGATTTAAGCCTGTTTCCCTGCCCTCAAATGGCTTACAATCTAGAAGGGAAGATAAGACATGCATGCAGATAGATAGACTATAAATTATTATATAATAAGTGCACAAGAGGCCTCATAAAGTGCAGTGAGAACAGTTGAGGGAAAGATCACTTCTGATTGAGGGTATCTGAGACAGTTTTATGGAGGAAGTGCCACTTAAGCTGTACCTTGAAAGCTAGATTGGAAACCAACATCCAGGGACAGGAATGATATAAGCAAAGGTATGAAGACAAAAAAAAATCACAGGATATTTGCAGGGTAACATAGGTTGGCTAGACTGTAGGTGTGAGAAGAATAGTTGTGATGAGTCCAGAGAGGTCATTTAGACCCAGAATATAAAGGGCCTTGAGTTCCAATGTTATACTTTGGACTTCTCCACCTTTTTTGCTTCTTGGACAGAGCCAGGCCTTGGATCTAGGCACTATGTGTTTTTCCTCCCCATGTATATCATCCTGCGTGTTACCTTTAAAAAAATTATTCTGTAGGCTCCTGGCCACTTTTCCAATTTACGAAGGTCACTTTGAATCTGATCCTATTTTCCAAAGTGCTGGACACCTGCCATCAATGTATCATCTACAGGTTTAATGAGCTTGCTCTGCATTTCAGTAGCCAGGAATGGAATAAGCAATTGCTGGGGAAGTAGTGGTCTCACGGATGAAGACATTCCCTCCATCAATGCAGTTTGCAAACCGTCCATGCCCACTCACCCTATGCCCCTCTTGTCCCTGTCCTCTGGTAACTTCACCAGAAAGAGTCCACTCAGTGTCGAGGCGGGGCATTCTTTACTTTTTCTTGTGAGCCCCATCACAACGGGGCTCAATGACTGTCCATCACTTAACTCCCTCACTCCTGCCGCATGTCCAGTCCCTTTTTATCACTCACATACATCTCTGATGACATCCTTTCCATCATTTTTCCTTCCTAATTCCTTGTGCACATTGTGTAAGTCTGCTCATGCTTGCCATGAGCCCTTCTGCTGCTCTCTGAGGGATCCTCAAGCTTGAATCTTTGCAGACCTTAGGGTACCACAATGCAAAGCCACACACCCATGAAAGCTTCATGGTATGTCTGGGGAAATACTCTGGGGAACTAGCAAGAACTGTTCCTTTTATCAGCTCTGTAGCCTCTGGCAGGTAGCATGAGCTGGAAAAAAATACTTTGTGGACTGGGACTTCTTTGCAAGGCAGCCTGGGGAACGGATGTCCGAAGCTAGAAGGGACCTCAGCAGTCATCAAGACCAAACATTCCCTCATTTTTGTAGGTTCATACACCTAGACCTGGTAGGCACCTGACGGGCCATTGAGTCCAACTTCCTAATTTTACAAACAAAGAAACAGGTGAAGTGATTTGCCTGGAGTCTCATAGTTAGGAAATGTTTGAGGCAGGATTTGAACTCAGGTATTCCTGACCACAGCCCCATCCACTATGCCACCTACCTGCCTCATTTTATACTTGACAAAATGAGGGCCCAGTAAAGCCATGTCGTTTGTCCAAGACCATTTGACTGTAGATGCTATGCTTTTTACATCACTAAGGTTCCTCTCAAGATGATGCCACATGGCCAATTAGTTTGCAAATGTCGTTTCTCTCTCCATGACATTTATCCCCTTCTCCCCATTCACACAGTCACTCCCCTAGTTCAGCTGCTATCACTTTTCACCTGGACTATCACAATTGCCTTCTACTTGGTCTTTCTGCCTCAAGTCTCTCCCCAATCCAATCCATTCTCCACACAGCCACCATCATGACTTTTCTCAGGCATGGGTCTGATCATGTCACCCTCCTCAAACACACTTGGGAAAGCCTAGTTTGATTTAGGATCAATTATAAAGTCCTTCGTTTTGCATTAAAAGCTCTTACACCTTGGTCGCATTCATCCTTTCTAGGTTTCTCCTTTCTACATCTCCTACCTCCATTCTTTTCAGCTGGCTCTCTACCTTGCCTGGGTCCAGTGTAAACTTGGGCAAGCCACTGCTTAGGGCTTCATTTTCCTTATCTGCAAAATGAAAGGTTTGGACTAAGTCAAATTGACCTTATAAGTACTATGTAATAAGCTCTCTAAGCTCTAGTTTCCTCATAGTCTCCATGGTGGTTTGAAAGGGTTACTGAACATTGTGTCCATCTCCTCCTCCCTTTCCCCTTCACCTCCCCGTCCCCACCATCACATTTCTTGGTTCTCATGAACCGAAGAACAGTTTACTCACTTACAAGATCTGGGTCAAAAGCTTCTTTGGTCTTGAACAGCTCAAGAAAAATAAACATCCCCCCACCCCCATATCAAGTAACAGCTGTCCCTTAGATGAACTCCAGCTACCATCTGCAATTCCTCAGCCTCCGGATGCTGTTTAATATGTATGTGCCTTATATTATTTGTTCCTGATGCTATCTTTTGTATTTTTCTTTAACCAAACAAGGTATTTTAACTATCCAAATAATTCCCGGGAAAATCGTCCCTGATAAGTGGTACAGAGAATGTCTGCAATGTCCAAACACAGCAAAAATTGTTTTGAGTGTGTTCTATATCACACTACATTTATCATAACTTATTAACACATTCTCCCTCCCTCACCATGTGCAGGTTGCTAATGAAGAAGGGAGACAGACGCCTACAAACTCCCATTCATTTCAGATCTAGGTCTTTTGTAGAACTGGGAGTAAGGATGCCATGGTGGCTAATTATGTACTTGGAGTCTGGCAAAGGCTTGGCCTGATCATTCATAGGCATTAGCAAACTTCAGTCAGGCCAGCTTTTTGCCACCACACACCTAGACATTTGGGTAGATGCCATAAATGGTGTGGCTGATTTTGCCAATTAATGAGGCACCAGCCTTCCAGCAGCTGGAGCCCATGGGCTTTCCAGTATGACCCCAATTGGAATTTAATTCAGTAAACATTAAGTGCCTACTGGGTGCCCACCACTGTGCTAGAATACAAAGACAAAAACGAAAGTCCTTGCCCTCAAGAATCAGCGTTAAATAACATATACACAGGTAATAGTATGTATCCAAATACATACTAAATGATATATATATATAATAAAATAATATGTGTGATCAAAGTAAGATCACAGATTCAGACCCCAGAAGCCATCTTGTCCAACCCCCTCATCTCACAGATGAGGAAACTGAGGTCTAGGAAGTGACTCACTTGAGATCACTCAAGTAGGAAGTATAAGAAGTGGGCTTTGGACCCCATGTCCTCTGTCTACTGAGCCAAATAAATACAAAATAATTTGAGGGAAAGAAATTTCTAAAACCTGGAAGGAATCAGGAAAGACCTCATTAGGAGGGATGCTCAAGGTGAACCTTAAATAGAACTATGTATTCAGGTAGAGGTGAAGAAGAAAAACATTTCAGGCAATGCTTCAGGATTAGATATTGTGGGAAATAATTCCAGAGATTAAATTAAAGTCATACACCATAGCTTTCAATGGTCTCTTCCAGATAAGATTATACCTGAGTGGATCTGAAGTAGGTCTACGAGTTCCAGAAGCTGTCTTATTCACTCAAGACACTGGGCTTCATATGTCTTAATTCTAGAAGAGTCAGCTCTCCTGGAGAATGTAAGCTCCTTGAGGGCAGGGGTCATCCCATTTCTGTCTATATCTCTAGCCCCTAACATAATACCTAGGATATAGAATGCACACGTAGTATATACTTGTTGAATTAAATTAACTTAAAGTATTCACCACAAACTACCAAATAGAAACACCAATGAAGTCATAAATGCCATAGGATACAACCTTGGAGCCAGGAACATAGGTCCAAGCCTCATCTCTGCATATACTGGCTGTGTGATCCTGGGCAAATCACACCCACCCATGGGAGCCTCCTTTTCCTCATCTGTAAAATGGATAAATTCACTCAGCATAGCTGTGAGGATCAGGTGACAACATAAGTAAAGTGCTTTGCAAACTTTAAAGGACTCTAGAAATGTCAGCTATTACTATCATCATCATCAGTAGTTGGAGTACTTTGACCTTCTACCCCACCTTCTTTCCAGCATCCCCACATAGATGGCCATCCAGAAGACCTGAATTCAGATGCCACTGTCTGTGCCTTCTCTAGAAAGTGAGGGGGTTGGATTCTACAGCCTCTGAGGTCCCTTGTGCCTCTAACTCTATGAGCCTACGATGCCGTGATAATAGCCATCAAGAGAAAGCCCCAATTTGTTTGTGAGGCAGCACCTTTTCCTCTCTTTCTGAGCTCTTCTTTAGAGCTGGAATCCTGCCTTCCTCCAGCTTTGACTTCTTTGGTCCTTGACTTGCCCTCTGAAGCCACACAGAAAGAGTCAGCTCACTCTGTCATATGGCAGCCCTTCAAATATTGAAAGGCAGCTCCTCAGAGTGAGCTGAGTTCATGGAGATTAAGTGGGCAGAGGCCCCTGGGGAAGGGGGGACTGATGCAGAATGCAGCAGAAGGCACAGAAGTGTGGGCAAGCAGGGCAGAGGAGCAGCCCCTCCCAACGTCTCTCCTTCACTCCTGAAAGAGAGTCAGAAGGCACATGCCCAAGTTCATTTTCTACTTTAATCAGATGCAGGGGGGAGTCCATATAAGCCTATTAATTCTACTTTAATGGATTCTCTGGAGGAGAAAATAAACCCTCAGATCAGTATTTGAAGTGACATGTTTCAGTTTATGAAATCACAATCCCACTGTCATCTACTGAAGACAGCTGTCATATAAACTGCCCTCACTTAAGTTCTTTGTCACCGCCTCCACTTTTATGACACCCCTCCCACACACACACACACTCTTCCATCATCCGTGTTTCCTCATGTTCCCTCAGTCACCCACCCCCCAAAAGGTCAGCATTAGCTTGCCAAAGAAAGGAGCCCAACTCTCAGCCTCAAAAAGGAAGGACAAAATCCTGACTTCTCAGTCAAGGACCAAAGATTATATCTATACCCTGTAGCCCTAGAGAGAATTGCCTGAGATGCTGCGAAATTATGCAACTTGTTCCTGGGAAGAGCGAAGGAAGGAAGGAAGGAAGGAAGGAAGGAAGGAAGGAAGGAAGAAAGAAAGGAAGGAAGAAAGGAAGGAAAGAATGAAGGAAGGAAGGGAAGGAGGAAGGAAGGAAGGAAGGAAGGAAGAAAAGAAGGAAGAAAGGAAGGAAAGAATGAAGGAAGGAAGGGAAGGAGGAAGGAAGGAAAGAAGAAAGGAAGGAAGGGAGGAAGGAAGGAAAGGAGGATGGGAAGGAGGGAGAGAGGAAGGAAGAAAAGAAGGAAGGAAGGAGGGAAGGAAGGAAGAAAAGAAAGAAAGAAGGAAGGAAGACAAGCATTTGTTAAACACCTACTAGTAGCAGTGGATAGAAGTTGCAAATAGCTAATATTTATACAGTGCTTACTACACGCCAGGCAGTGTGATAAGCACATTACAAATACTATCTTATTTGATCCTCACAAGAAACCTCTGAGGTAGATGTTATTATTATCCCCATTTTATACTTGGAGACAGACAGAGACAAACAGAGGTTAAGTGATTTGCCCAGGGTCACATAGCTAGTAAGTGTGTGAAGTAGTATTTGAACTCGGGTCTCCCTGACTCCAGGTACAATACTCTATCACACCACTTGGCTACCTACTAGGGGGAATAGAAGGAGGAAAAGAAAGAGGAAAAAGAAAAGAGGAAGGAAAGGAAGGAAAAGAAAGAAAAAGAGGAAGGGAATGGACAGAAAGGTAGGAGAAGACCCAGAGGAGATCATCTTCATGAAAGCCTAGAGAGAAAAGAATAGCTGGGAGAAAAGGGTGATCAACAGTGTTAAAGCCTGCAGAGAGGTCAAAAAGGATGAGGACTGAGAAAAGGCCATTGGATTTGGTAACTAAGGGATCATTGGTGACTTCAGAAAGAGCAGTTTCAGTTGAATGATGAACTAAGAATGGAGACCGTAGAGAGATGAGAAGAAAATGAGATAAATGGAAGTGGAGACAGCTTTCTCCAGAAGTTTAGCCATGAAAAAGAGGAGAGATGTGAGATGATAGCTAGAGGGGATGGGCATATAAAGTGAGGGTTTTTTGAGGACTGGGGAGACACAGGCAGGTTTGTAGGTAAGAAGGAAGCAGACAGTAGACGGGGAGAGACTGAAGGTACGTGAGAAAGTGGGGATGAAGAGGGACAATGTGCTAGAGAAGACAGAATGGAATGGGATCACTTGTGCATATAGAAGAGTTTGCCTTGGTAAGGAGAAAAGTCACTTCATTATATGAAACAGGGATGAAGGAGGAGACAGTAGCAGAAGGCATCTGAGTGATGTGAAGTGAAGAGGAAGAGAGAAGAGGAAACTTTCAGCAAACCACCTCAACATTCTTCAGTGAAGTATGAGGCAGCTCGTGTTTCTCCCTTAGCTGAGAGGGAGAGCGGTGGTACATTTGAGGAGATTTGACTGACATAGTGAGTCAATTAGGAAGGTTTAAAGGATTGCCTTGCAGCTGTGAGGACCCAGTTGAAATTATGTAACCAATTTATAGTAGACCTAGTCAGCATGATTTTGTGATTTTCCCCAACTTTGTTCAGCCCCAGGAAAATATGTCTTTCAGATGAGGAAACTTGAGGTAAGAGAAATTAAATAACTTGGCCAGGGTCACACGGCTAAAGTAACTGAAGATTTTCTACAATATCAAAATATTCATATTGATGTCAGTGACTCTCCTTAAGGCAGTTAGATAGTACAGTGAATAGAGCATTGGCCATGGAGTCAGGAAGGTCTGAGTTCAAATTCTGCTCCAGACGCTTACGAGCTCTGTGACGCTGGGCACAGTGTCAATATACCTCAATGTACTAATTTGTAAAACAGGGAAAATAGTAACTCTAGTACCTCTCTCACAGGGCCATGCAGAGGCACAGGTGAGATAATGTGTCTAAGATGATACATAAATTTCAGGTCTTATTGATTAAGAAGAGAGGAAGTGTGGTGTAGTAAAGATAAAGCCAGCCCTGGAGGCAGCCTGACCAGAGTTCAAGTCTCGCTTTTGACAGACAATGACTGTGTGACTCTAGACAAGTCACCCCAAGCAATTCTAGAAGACTACAGATGCAGAACCACGTGAGATCTTCATTCAGCAGAGCTCAACCAGGAACTCCTTACCCTGCTGAAACCACCACTCCGGGCTACTCCAAAAAACGATTAAGAAAATATATAATGGGGGCAGCTAGGTGGCACAGTGGATAGAGCACCGGCACTGAAGTCAGGAAGACCTGAGATCAAATCTGGCCTCAGACCAAACACTTGACACTTACTAGCCATGTGACCCTGGGCAAGTCACTTAACCCCAACTGCCTGGAAAAAAATACATATATATATATATATATATATATATATATATATATATATATATATATATATATATATATATACTGACAGGAAGCTACTATGAATTCAATAATTATTTTTTTAGCAAGTTGCTACTTTACTTCCTCACACGAGAGTCTACATATGTTTGAAAAACAGAAATACAGGGTGTCCCAAAAGTCTTTGGTAAGCTTTAGTAACTTTTGAACAATGATTCAGTCTACATAACAGGCATTTGTTTATTTACGGATTTGTGGACCAACTCCTTGCAAAAGCTCCCTGATCCTCAGACCACAGGTGGGCAAAGTCAGTGGACAGGATGACCTCCAGTCCCCTTCCAACTCTAGGTCCTATCTATGGCACTAGTGGTAGTTGTCCTGTTCATGGCTTTGAACCAAGCCGTCTCTCCCATGACTCACCATGTTCCTTACCCATCCAGGTTCTCCAAGGAGCAGCAACTTGCTTCTATGCCTTCATTGGTTTTGACATCATCGCCACGACAGGAGAAGAAGCAAAGAATCCCAACACATCCATTCCTTATGCCATCACCGCCTCCCTGGTCATCTGCCTCACGGCGTATGTGTCTGTAAGTACTCAGAGTCACAAAGCCAGGGGAGGAATGGAGGAGAGACGTGCAACAGGCGTCCCCTTGGACGTCCTTCCGTTTTCTAATTTGAGAAAAATGACAGCGGCTGTGTGTTTTCTTCTCTGTTGTCTTCTGACTTTTTTTATTGTATTGATATCTTGCTTTTCTATCATCTTCATTTCTGAATATATCCCTCCCTCTCTCTTAGCTTTGCAACAGAGAATAAAAAGAGAAAGAAAAAAGCATTTCCAACCATTCTAACCATCACATTAACCAAGTCTGACGGCATATACAGCATCCTATACCCCTAGTCCCCTGTTTCCACAAATAAGAGAAGGAGAAGGAAGCTCTCCAGGGCTAAGCTGGAGCACTATTCTTGTAGTGTTCGCATTCATGGCTGCATTCTTTCCATTTACGTTGTTGTCCACCATGAGTCTCTGTGACTTGCATCGTCAGATCAGCGCAGCTGGGGAGACAGAATATTGCAATACATGCGTTCAGCCTTCTAGTCCTATTGCTTGAAGGCCTGGATTCTAGCACCTGAAAGCCACGTACACACCCCTTAGGCCAAGAGGCGAGAAGTACATGTAGCCAGCAACTTACAAATGTTTTGAGACTCGAGATTCACAGCATTTGTCATGGTAGGTTTCTATCAGAGACATCTCTGAAGTCGTCTCCTTTGGCTTCAGACTCCATCATTTCTATGCAGTATCCACCGAGCCAAAAGTTTCTCAATCTGCTGAGGGTGCCCTTTTGAACTTCCACAGAAGAGAAAAAAATCACAGCCTGATGTTTCTTCACAGAAATCATCTGTCTCTCCTTCAAAATCCCACCATTCAATTTAAATTTGGACTGGAATAAGTAGATAAGCTGAAGACCCTATTACACACACACACACACACACACACACACACACACAAACACACACCCTTCATGCCCCACTCCCCTCTTCACACAGTTTCACTTCTGATCTCTGGGCCAGAGTGACCCTGAAAAATACTTCAGGTTTGGGATGCCTTCCAAGGCAGCACACATCATAGACTGGCAGTATCGGGTGTGCAAGGCTGAAGCATTGTTCAGTCCCCGTATAGGCTCACGTCAATGAGCTTCTGTCTTTGGAGCCTGCCAGTGCAATATAATCAAATTGAGCTGCCAGCGGAAGAGAAGGTAAATCAGCATGTCATCCGGAGAATTTAGCAGGAGCTCCAGTCACTCCCTTGTGCAGAATAGAGCTGTACCTAGGAATTTTTGAACCCCAGTGAATACCACCAACTTTACACAGGACAAGTAACACAAACACGCTTTCAGTTAAGCAGGAGTGAGACAGAGACAGAGACAGAGACAGCACTCTTGAGATACCATGAGGCCGCTTCTTGGGAAGCTGCCATCCAGGGTAGGAAGGAAACAGGATGAGCTGGGGGAGGAGCTCACAGTGACCCACCATCTTGTAGTTTCCTGTTTTAACAAATTATCTTTCCTAAGGAGGAGCTAAGTTCTGTTTCTATGCTTCTGAAAGCTTACAAGCACTATATCAGTACCCTGAGACAAAGCCCTTATCACCCCACCCTCGTTACAGCTTTGTCCTTGACCCTGTCTACAACTACTCACATCCCTTTTGCCTGGCATATTCCATCTGGCCCCTTCCTCATTTGGCATCACTGATAATTAGTCCTCTGAGGTCTTCCCCAGGTGTGTGAGGCTCCCATCTTTGTCTCCTAAGGTTCATATGCAGATGTCACGTGAAAAAAGACAGGACTGTCCATAACTAGGGATGTGCTAATATTTTTAAGGCTTGGCATTCTCTGCACCTGCCTAGTTCACAGACCAGAGCCAAACAGGCTCTCAGTAAGCCATAACAGAAAACCTCTGACTGGCTAATAAGCCATCTCATCATACTAATCATCTTGGGCTGAGAGAGGCAGCACAATTTCCAGACCCCATAATTAACATAATAAAGTCTTTGGACTTCTGTTTGTAAATCACAGCCTGGAGTTATTGGCCAAGCTTCCCATTCCTCCTGCCATGACCTAAAAGGTGATACCTCTTTCTTCATGACAGCTCTCTTTAGCAATCACCCCCAAGGAATAACCAACTGGTTAAATAAGGGAGGGGGGAAGACTGGCTAGAAGATTTGGGGAGAGCACAAATTACACTTGGAAATATTGGTTGTTTGGTTCATAGGTGCATAGATTTAGAGCTGTAAGAAAACAACTCAACCACTCCATGCACCTAATTTTACAAATCAAGAAACTGAGGCACATATAGATTAAAATGACTTGGCTGAAGTCATACAGCTAGTAAGTGGCAGAGCTGGGACTGGGACTGAAGGCCTTCTACTGTGTCATGCTGCCTCATTGATGAATGTGTTTAATTCTACTCACCTCAAAACTTTTTAGTGTCTGAAGACATTTTTCACCTGTACTCCTCCCCTAAAAGTTGACTTTTTCACAAGCTGAATAGGACATAGTGGATAGAAAGGCTGGAAGAAGATATTGGAAGACTGGAGTTCAAGTCCTGCTGTGGACACATACAAGCTGTTTGGCTGAGGATAGGGCAACTCCTCAGTTCCCCAGGCAGCTCTCTAAGACTACTTATTGGTTACAAAAGAGCCATCAGTCAGCATCAGTGGAGAGAGCCTCCACGCCAGGAGATTCTCTCACCAACAGAGTCATGGGCTCAAAATAAAAATTATCACCCATACATCACTTCACCCTTTCTCCTGTCTTAGTCAGTCTTCACAGCATGAAGTGAGATCTCTGTATGGAAGGGAGGTCTGCTCCTAGATACTCGAGGTTTTTATTTATTTGATTGGTTTTTGCCTAAGTTTCTAAAGATAAGGTCGGTCTCTCATTGGCAGCCCAAAGTGAGCAGAGATGGGAATCACCCAGCTCACATTGAGGCTTAACAGGAAAACCATTCAGTCAAACTCCTAGTCCCAACCACCCTAAAATCCCATCACTGGGCTTGGAAGGATGCTACTCCTAAGCACTTAGGGGTGAGAGAACAAGAAAGAGAGCAAAGGCACGGGAGGATCTCTGGGGACACCCCACCAAACCCACTGGTCTGTGTTGCTTGGCTGCAAGGGCCAGCATCAGCAGCTGGCATCCAGTACCCACCATAATAAACACTTATGAGACACCTGCTGTTTACAGAGCATGGTGCTAACTAGAGTTGGGAGGTACACAGGAGATAAGATAGGATTCCTATCCCTCTAAATCTTACTGTCTAGTAGACACCATCACATCACTGTAATACATAAAACTACATAATCTGAGAAAGTTTGGGAGCAAAGTCACCCAAGCAACCAATAAGAGCTCTTATTATATGGGAAAACATCTAACCTTCCTTGAGATCTGAATAGGTCTATCTTTGTCTGGTAGCCTCCTAGAACCCTGCAAAATGACTCTCTGCTGGTCTAATCTGTCCCACTCCGAGCTTACAATCCGGCATGTGCTCTCTCTCTTTTCTCAAACAGGTGAGCGTGATCTTGACCCTGATGGTGCCCTATTATGCCATTGACACCGAGTCCCCCCTCATGGAGATGTTTGTGGCCCACGGATTCTATGCTGCAAAATTCATTGTGGCCATCGGCTCCGTTGCTGGCCTGACAGTCAGCCTGCTGGGGTCTCTCTTCCCAATGCCCAGGGTCATTTATGCCATGGCTGGTGATGGGCTTCTCTTCAGGTCAGTGCCATGCTCCTGGACATGGACTCCTTTCCCATGACCACCCTGTTCCCAGACTCTGGAGGTGGCTGCATTTAAGTCCCTCAGTCACTGTTCATTCTTGACTGCTGCTTTGGAAAGATGCACTAGGAAAGCCAAAGGTTTGAGAAGGGTTTGTAAGAAGAGGGACAGATCCCCTGACTCCATCACCTCTCAAGGGTTTTGTTTTTCTGGCGGGGGGGAAGGAGAAGGAGGTAGGAAAACAAAATAGATTTTTGTTAGTTGAAAAATTAAATTATTTTAAAAAACAAGAAAAAGTTAGGGACATGGCTCCTTGGTTGGTTCAGGGGTCAGACTGATAAGTCCCTCCAATAGCCCATTTTCCCTCCTATGATCAAAATGGCCTCCAAAGTCATCAGAATGCCCAAAATGGCAAAGGAAAGGAGGAAATAACCTAGAGAGCCCAGGAGGATTCTGGAGCTTCTAGAACAATGTCCCTCCATCTCCTTCCAAAGTAGATATCACAGTGACAACCTGTGATGATTTGTTAAGGTCATCACACACACACACACACACACACACACACACACACGCACGCACGCACGCACGCACGCACACACACCTTTGTGTCATTGACATACTCCTCAGATCCAATCAACATGTCACATCAGATAATCAAGTAATTAAGAAGCTGGTCACATCCTGGAATGATCCTAAGTGGGTTACTTCTTACTCTATAGTAAGTTTTTTACTTTTTTATGGCTTTTTTAGGAACCAAATCCTGGGCCACAAGTAGTCCTGGGTTTTTGTGGGACTATACCTAATCTGTCAATGAGTGGGAAAAACTTTGCCCTGGGACCATTATGATCCAAATCAATAGCCTTTGCTGGCAGTCCAGATTCTGCTTCACACTCTTAAATCACTGAACCTCCGCCTGCCTCAGTTCCCTCATCTGTAAAATGAAGATAACCATAACCCCTAGCTCACAAGGTTGTTGGGAGGATTTAATGAGGTAATAAATGTAAAAGGGCTCTCAGCATCACTATTAAGCCCTGCTTCTGTCTCCCTTTAGATTCCTGGCGCACGTCAGCTCCTACACAGAGACGCCAGTGGTGGCCTGCATTGTGTCCGGCTTCCTAGCCGCTCTGCTCTCTCTCTTGGTCAGCCTGAGAGACCTGATTGAAATGATGTCCATTGGCACTCTGCTAGCCTATACCTTGGTCTCAGTCTGCGTCCTGCTCCTCCGATACCAGCCAGAGAGCGACATTGATGGTTTTGTTAAGTTCTTGTCTCAGGAGCACACCAAGAATAAGGAAGGCGTTCTGGCTGAATGTGAGAAGGAAGTTTGCTCTCCCGTGAGCGAAGGGGAAGAGTTTTCAGGCCCAGCTACAAATACATGTGGGGCCAAGAATTTACCATCCTTGGGAGACAATGAGATGCTCATCGGGAAGTCGGACAAGTCTGCCTACAATGTCAACCATCCTAACTATGGCACCGTGGATATGACGTCTGGCATAGAGGCCGACGAGTCAGAAAATATTTACCTGATCAAGCTCAAGAAGCTGATTGGACCTCGCTACTATACCCTGAGGATCCGCCTTGGCCTTCCGGGCAAAATGGACCGGCCCACGGCGGCCACTGGCCACACAGTGACTGTCTGTGTGCTCTTGCTCTTCACCCTTATGTTCATCTTCTGCTCCTTCATCATCTTTGGCTCAGATTACATCTCAGAGCAGAGCTGGTGGGCCATCCTCCTGGTCATCCTCATGGTCCTGCTCATTGCTGCCCTGGTGTTTGTGATCTTACAGCAGCCAGAGAATCCTAAGAAGTTGCCCTACATGGCCCCCTGCCTCCCATTCGTGCCTGCCTTTGCCATGCTGGTGAATATCTATCTCATGCTAAAACTCTCCACCATCACCTGGATCCGGTTTGCTGTCTGGTGCTTTGTGGGTAAGCCTTTTCCTTCAAGGATGATGAGTTCTTCTAGGACATTTTTGTAGGGTTAACTCAACACTCCTCTAGTGGAACTGGGCCACCTCCAACATGAAAGAGGTCAGGCTGAGCTCTGTGGATCCCGGGCTTCTACATTAATGAAACAAATTGGCCCTTTCTCATTCAGATTAACATCCTGTTCCTTCCAATGACCTTGACTGTAGAAGGATAATGGCAAACAATCAATTCAACAAGTATCCATTGAACTCCTGCTATCTACAAAGTGATGCTTCAGAAGTACAATGTAACAGAGTAGAAATATCATTTGATTAGTCATTGAGAGATGTGAGTTTGAGCCCTATCCCTACCACATAGTACTTGACCCCACGTAAGCCATTTTCCCCTCCATGTCTTTAATTTTCTCATCACAAAACTAAGGGGATTGGAATAGAATAGGTGGCTTTAACCGTTTTTGTGCCTTAGACCCCTAAGGGTCTAATAACAGTTAATAATAATAGCTAACATTCACACAGCACTTTACACATTCATTTATTTGATCCATGCCCCAACCCTGTGATGAGGTAGGTGTCACTATTATCTCCATTTTGCAGATGGGGAAACTAAGGCTGAGAGATAGTCAATGACTTGCACAGGACAAAGTTAGGTGACTGAGGCAAAATTTGAATTCAGGTCTTCCTGACTCCAAATCTAACACTTCATCCATTGCACCATTTATCCATCTGTCTTTTGCAATCTGGTGAACTTTAAGAACCTGTCCTCAGAGTAATGTTTTTCAATGCATAAATTAAACTACATAGGATTACCAAGAAACCTGATTATATTGAAATAAAGATGTAATTTTTTCCCCATTCAAATTCATAGACCCCAGGCTAAGCACCCTGGACTAGAGAATCTCTAATATCCCTTTCAGCCCTAAAGTCTATAGAGTGGCTAAACAGCTGACATTAGTCTTAGAGCCAAGAAGCCCTGGGTTCAAGCCCTACCTCTAAAACCTATTTGCTGTCTGACCCACTCACACATTTAACCAATTGATAACCCTTGCCAGCTCTCTAAGACTCTGTTGAAGAGCAATTGATGATCTGAATTAGTACTGGTGATTCCTCATCAGAAGTTCCCCAACCAGTGAAAGAGGTAAATAAGGTCAAGTGAGAAACAAATGGTAGATGATACTGTGAGCCATAAGCAGGCTGGGAGTCCAGAGGAGGTGGAGGTTTTTCGGGCTAGAGTCTAAGGAGGAGTCAGAATCTGAACTGAGCCTTGAAGAATGCGTGGAATTCAGATAGGTAGAGAGAGGGGGCAGGAGATACCAGAGGGTGGGAGGCAATATGGGTGGGGTCATTCCTTGCACCTTTTCTTAGACTTTCAGCACCTGCTCCTACCTATGTGGTCCACTACCTGCTACCATTTTGTTCCACCTTTTCAACACCTCACTTCCATTCTCAGAACCCCAGTATTTTCAAGAAACATTTACTAAGCACCTACTATGTTCCAGACACTGTGCAAAACATTGGGATACAACTACAAACAAAAAGGAAGAGTATCTTTCAGTGAAGGATCTTTCCGCCTTTTCTTGGAGACCTCCAATGATGGGGAACTCACTACTGCCAAAAGCATTTCACTTCTGGACTGCTTGAATCATGAGACGTGAGGTTGAAGTCTCCAAGAAAAGGCTGAAAGACCATTTGAGGAAGATGTCGTAGAGAAGATTCTAATTCTGTATGGTCTATGTGGCCTCTGAGGTGTCTTACAAGCCTTGACTTGTAACATTCAGGTTATGTCTCCTTGCTTATCTTTTTTTTTTTTTTTTTTTGGTGAGGCAATTGGTAGTAATATACAGTCAGAATTACAGAATGTTAGAGGTGGGAGGGACCTCAATGATCCTCTAGTCCAACCCTCTCCTATTGCAAATGAGGAATCTGAGGCCAGAGAGAAGAAGTGATTTGTCCAAGGTCACACAGCCAGGCAGAAGCAGAAATGAGACCAAGATTAAGGTTTCCTATTTCCAGGACAGGGTTTTCTTCTGCATCATGCTGCCCCCTAGTGGAAGTTTTCATTTTATCCTGGCATCAGATTCATGTTATTTTGATTTGTTTTATTTGTTATTATTTGTTTGTTTATTTGTTTATTTATTTTGTTGCTTGTTTTGTTATTGTCCACTAATTATTGCATAATAATATTTTCTTCTTGCTGGAATCAGAAAAGATTTTCTTTACTGGAATACATTTATTGTCCCCTGCAAAATCTATGGACTTAGGAGTTCATCAGTACGAGAAGCAGCGATGCAGATGACCCACCTTATCTGTCAGAGATTCTGAGTCGTCTGAGCCTCAGAGGTTAAGTGATTCATCACTAGTGGTCACATAGGTAGGAAGTAGCTAAGGCAGGACTTGAACCCAGGTCTCTTCACTCCTCCAACAGTGTTCTTTCCACTATGCCATGGACAAATACTCTACTTGCCAAATAGTTTTTTAATATAGAGTCATTTCAGCAAAGATTGCCCTTTGAGAATTCATGGCATAGGCAAGCTGCCTGAGGCAGCCAGGGATCAAGATAGAGTGCCAGACACTAGCTGTGTGACCCTGGGCAAGTCATTTAATCTTGATGGTGCTTTGTTTCCCCCATACATAAAATAAGGGTTAAAATAGCACTTACCTTACAGAGTTATTGAGAGGGTCAAATGAGATAACATGGATAAAGTGCTTTGAACACCTTAAAGCCCTATATAAATACCAGCTATAATTATTATTATTTTATTAATTTCTAGCCTTTTCTGTAGTACAAACTAAAAACTCTTCCCTAAAAACTGCTCACATTCCCTAAGTGTCTAGTTGTCCATTACTGGTTGTCCAGTACTAGGAGGGTTCCTTTGCTGAGTGTAATGCCCCAGAACTTTCAATCACAGTGAAGCAAAGTGATGGAGCCTGGCCACCTGCTGCCACCATCTTGCCACAGATCTGTAGATGGGGGACTTCCGTCTCCCTCTCCTTAGTCGTTGGGCTCCTAGTCTCTTGGACTGCTTATTGCTCACAAAGTCCCAGAAGCCCAGAATGTCAGGGTTGGAAGGGATCTCCAAAGCCATCACAACCAACCCACACCTGCTCCTTGTGCCTTTGCTGACACAATTCTTGCTGGCTGAAAAAAAAGGAGTAGAGAGGTTTCATCTCAAAAGAATGCATGACTAAGAGATGAGCAGATGAACAGACAGCCTCTCTGTTCTTGGTTTACTATGTGTGACAGCCACCACCCCCCCACCCCCAGGTAGGCTTTAAAAACCTTACCCCGTGACATAGAATAAACAGCCAAAATCTAAATCTTTGAGCCTGAACTCCTGACTTCTAGCCTCTCCCCTTTCAGATCTATCCTCCACAAAGCTGCCAAAACAGTACTCCTAAAGCATGCCAGATCGTGTCACCCCAAAGCTTTGGTAGCTCCCTTGAGCCTCTATGAGAAACCTCTCAACCTGGGGTTTTTAAACCATGGATAGATTTCAGTGAGTCTGTAAATTTGGGAGGTTTTTTATATTCTGATGACTGCATTTCAATATAATTGGTTTCCTTTGTAATCCTATGTATTTATGCATTTAAAAATATTATTCTAAAAAGAGGACCATAGGCTTCCCCAGACAGACGAAATCCATGACTCGAAAAAAGTTAACTCCTTCTAAGAGAAAAGACAAACTCCTCTCTATTAACATTTAAAGCCACGGGGGCAGCTAGGTGGCACAGTGGATAGAGTATCGGCCCTGAATTCAGGAGGACCTGAGTTCAAATCCAGCCTCAGACACATAACACTTACTAGCTGTGTGACCCTGGGAAAGTTACTTAACCCTGCTGCCTAACCAAAAAAAAACCCATTTAAAGCCATGGTCTGATTCTATCCTATCGTTCTAGGCTTATTACACATTATTAACCCCTCAAATACTACATTTCAGACAAAGTAGTCTACTTGCTATTCCGTGAACTCGGTCCTCCATCCATATCCCACTTCCATGCCTTTGCCCATGCCTAGAAGGCACTCCCTCCTCACCCACACCTCTTAGAATTTTTAGTTTCATTCTAGTCTTAGTCCATATCTCCCCTCACATGGGAAACCTTTTCTAATTCCCTTGGTTATTAGTGATTTCTTCCTCCTCCTCCTCCTCCTCTTCAGATTGCCATCTATCTATGTATTTCTCTGGTGACATGTTATATCCTCTGTCCCATTAGAATACAAACTCCTTGAGGGCAGATACTGTTGTTAGGTTTTGCTCTATTTTGAATCCCCAGTGTCTAACACAGTGCTTAGCATATAGCAGACACCTCAGTGCATGTTGGATTGAATTAGATTGGATTGGGTTAAATTGGGTTGGATTGGATTGAGTTGAGTTGGGTTGGATTGGATTGGGTTGGGTTGGATTAGATTGGGTTGGGTTGGATTGGATTGG